AATTATGTAACAATTTATTGAGGTAGTGGCGAGATTTCAAGCGGGAAATGAATGTTATCATGGACTTAGAAAGTTACTCAATTTACGAGCATTGTCACGAATAATAATAAAATATCAGTTGTACACACGTCATTGATCGGAACAGTATCTCGTATGGATTCGAAGCTTGACGACTACCTATACTCAGAAAAATATCACATAATTTATGGCCCGGTCAATGATAATACAACTTGAGAGTAGAGACGAAGAAGGAATATGGATAGAGCTGGAAGCTTTACATCATTGCGATGCGGACATATCAAAAGTCATCAGAAGTAGAAAGCTACGATGGACCGGCCATGCTTGAAGGACCCAAAATATTTTGCTGCGTGGAGTGAAAGAACAGAATTCTTTGGGGAGACCAAAGATACGGCTGGGAAAATCTTATAAAAAAGGATGTTGAACAGATGGGAGGTGGTCTTTAAAGGACCCCGGTCAAAACAGATTCTTTGGTCGCAAGGTAATATTAAACATATTTGTATAGGTGTCTGAGGCGGAAATAGCTTAATTTTATATAGTAAAAGTAACGTGGCTCCCTCAAATAATTATGATAAGTACCTATATACCTACCCCAGTGATGTAATTTGATGTTTTTCTAGAGGGGTCAAACAAATTAAACAACGGTATGAAACACACCTGCTAAAATGTAAATAAAAATCGAGTATAGATTATACACACGCGGACACCACATACCTACTCATGCTCAGATCACAATGTGATTTTAGCGCGATTTCAGTTACACGTATATAAAACTAGATAAACCGAAATGTACCTGGGCGGAGTGTTTATCGCTTATACCCGAAATGTTTACCAATATTTTGGGATTTAATTTCGAGAATTTGTGAGTTTCCTTTCATAACTTACGAGTTAGCCATTTATGAGCTACAGACCAAATACGAATAGGTGGACCGACTTCAATAGCCCACCCATGTCGCTCAAAAATGTCTAAATACATACAAAAATATGCGTCGCGATTTTCGAGAATTCGAGATATAGTTTTCAAATTCTGCAAGTCGACCTTTTGAAATTTACGTTTTTCTTTAATTTTTTTCTTTTTCAAAATTCTTTTAAAAAATACTGGACATTTTTTAGATTTTACAGTGATGAGGTTCATTCGACAGTCGGTACATCCATCGTTTGCTAACTACTTTTTTTTTGTAACGTGGTTCATTTACGTAACGGTTTGCCAACACACACACAAACGCAGAGAGTGTCAGAGTGATATATATATATATATATATATATGAGTATATAATATCAGTAAGTATCGTATTTAATATTTTAATTTCTTAAGCATATAATATGTTTTTTTTTTGAATTTTTTTTTTTTGAAACCGTCGTCGAGCCCGGGCCGATAAACAATCGAGATTCGGCGCCGCTCGCATTATTATCATAATAAACCTGCTAAAACCTAATATGCATATATAATACGCACACATAATATATATATATATATACATTCACATATGTACATCTATTTGTATTATTTTATAACATATACACATAGTATGTGTACAGTCCGCATTTACGTTTCGTCCTTTTTGATGACGTCCGCGCCGACCGTGCAGTGCACATTCGCGTCGCAGAGAGGACGGTCGCGATGCGCAGACGATACCGGGCGCAAAAAACAACAACATAAATATTATATCCGCGAGCAGACGCGATCGGGTCGCACTGATACACACCTATTTGCTTGTTAAAAATCTAATGGATCTCATGTACACACGTTATACGCATAAAATACGCGGTATCTTGTCTGCGTGTGTGCGTGTGCGCGCGTGTGTGTGTGTGTGTGTGTGTGTGTGTGTGTGTGTGTGCGCGTAAATTATACGTACACACGATATAAGAACAATCCGAAGCGCATGTCGTACACGCTGTTATTGCGAGTTATAAAAAAAAAAACTCAGAGGACAAAATTATCTGCCGGATACCCGTGTATGCATACACATATGTGTGTGTGTGTGTGTGTGCGTGTGTGTGTGTGTGTGTGTGTAGGTACAATACGTGTACGACGTAGGTACGCATAGTACAACACGACGAGTCTCGTCTGCCGAAAATTTGCGCGACGACTCAATGTGTCTATCAGTATAATATCATTATTTTATAATATATTTATATATATATATATATATATATGCGTCGAGATGATAGCCGAGCAGGTGCCGTTCGTATTTCGTGCAATCTTTACATAATATACCATTAAATATTTATAATTCATGCGGCGCCTACATAATACTATCAAAAATCGAACGAGTGGTCATTAGTAGAGTTATTGCGACGTCTTATTACTCACCATTTATGGGTATCTGTTTAAAGTTTAGACGATCGGACTCGCGAAGAGGGTTACTCCCGTGCCACAGAACTTGACCACATCTATACTTTAAGCACTTGTAAGTTACAACCCATGAATTACTAGGTAGTCCAAATTAATATTATTAAATATTGATATATATTCTCAGAAAAATATTCTGCTTCGGAATTTGAGGTTACAAATTAACGACGCCGTTGTAATGGCGTGGACCACCATACTCATATTTTATTAGTTATCAGTGATAACTTATCACCATATATTTTACATTATATAGGTCTGTATGTTACGGTAAAAGTACAAATACCGCGGTTAAAACCTATTGGTTAGGTTGGGTTCTTATTTTGGTATTTAATCTATCATTAAGATTGTACACTATATGCCTAACACATATAAAAATAACGTGTTCCATAACCCCTACAGTATCCCTACAGTACCTACAGTTACCCTACAGTAACTCCTACAGTACCACAACCAACAGCTAATGGCCTCAGTTGTCGAAGCTTAAATAAATAAAATAAAAACATATAAAAATAAAATACAATAAAAATAATTGTCCAAGATGTCACTTATTTACACACAGTTTCTTTATGTGCTGCTCGTATTATTCTTTATACCATGTTTTTGTACACCGGGGGGTAAGTATAATAATTTATTTTATAATTCAAATTAATTATATTATAGAATTTGATAAAATCGATCATTGTAATAATTAGTGTTTGCTAAAATCTAATACAAATTAACAAATAATAAATTATTTATAATTAACTATTCAATAAATGTGTTTTAAATATTTTGTAATGCAAAATTAAATTACAATTACATTTTGTAGGAATTCATCGATATTAAAATAATATAAAATAATGTTTAGAATAAGATGAAAATCTAAATTGTGATTAGGACTTATGACTATAATTTCTTAAAATGTATTATCAACTCTTGAAGCAGAAGATTTAGTGCTGATTTAGTTTAGCGTAAGTGCTTAAAAAAAAATTCAAATTAAGTTCATGTTTCTGACACGGATAAAGATGTTAGTCACAGAGACATGACCTGATGAAACCGCAGTAAACGGAATATGTGAAGAAACTGGGAAATCTTTTGTAGGTAATTGAAAATACGTCGAAATAAAATAACTACAGTCGATATAGTACCAGGTCGAACTCAAAATACTAAACTACACCAAGAATCAACGCATCAAAAAATCATCAAAAACCAGCGAAAAAAATTCAGTAATATGCAGTGTGTGTCAGGTGTAATTCAGCATAGATCGAGTCAACGTAATGTGACTGCAAAAATTGCAATTAAAAGGTAAATAATTGTATTCAAAATATGATTTTAAGCTAAAATCGACTGTCAGTCCATATAACTGAGTATAGTTTATGGTAATGTTTATTTTTATTAGTCATAACCCATTATGGATGGTTTATATTTTGCCTAAAACATTGAATTTATTCGAAGCCGAAAAGAAAGAATATTTATTGTAAACAAGATAAATGGTCTTAGTATTATATTTATATAATATTTTTAATTTAAATCAAATATTAATTTTTTACGTCATTTTTTGATGGTATTTAAACTATTTTTTTCAAATAAAATAAACACTTTTAACGTCATTTCTTTTTTACATATTTATGACATTTAATGAGTTTTTTTGGGGGCATTTTGCAAGATTTTCATAATTTTATACCATCCGGGCCCTATTTATTATATTTTTAGCTTAGTATTTTGTTATTATAATGGTATATATTTATATGATTTATCGTTATTATTAATTTTTGAGTCAATACCAGCTTACTGTATGGAACGGCGAAATAGCTTAAACTAATCTAAATGTTTTGAATACTCTATTGACTGTACAAAATATACCTAATAACACATTATGTTAAGTGTTAAATATTATTTTTGAATTACAACAAAATTACTGAAATCGTTATTCTGTATTTAAATATCTAGAACTTTTAAACGTATATTAAAAAAATGAAGTGCTATCAATTTTTTTAATTTTTGGTAACAGTATAACTACTTATGATGAAACTTGAATTAAATGTTTAAGACTTAGCAATATAGAAAACTGAACATTTTATGCATTTATTTCGACTACAACATAATTGTTCAAATTTTTCTTTCGATGTCGCCAATGTAACGATGTATTACACATTATTTGGACGTTGTTACATACGATCACATCTTAACATATAGACGTAAGACATTCAAATTTAAGGAAATAGATTATAAACATATTTTGTTTCCAGTTGGCCGTCATGTCGAGCAAAGACAACCCACTTAACTATTAGTGAGTCTGTGAAGTTTAATATGTACCCATGATGATTGGCTCTGAGTACGCCCCTACTCTTACTACATTAGTGTAGCTAGTCATTTAGTTGTGGCTATAATAGTAATATTATCTTTCGCAATGTTAGATAAAAATAATAATAGTAATAATATAGTTGTGCACCATAGCTACAATTCCGAGCAACCGGAAAAACTACAAAACAGATATCAATATATTATATAGGCAACGATTAAAACTAATATTTTTTTTTATATTTTATAGATATCAGTTTAATATATTATTAAAAAAACACATTTACTTTAATCTATGTTAGGTTATTATTCAGTGGATAGATTTTGAAACTGAAATACGACAAATATCATGATTTCACTGAAAAAAAAGTTCCAGCACATGGTCGGCCAGTCTTTCGACAACCGTCTCAATACTGTTGGAGAGAAGATTCGTAGTGTCTCGTTCACCGATTCCAAAGACACAAATGCCGCACCACCCGACCTCGATAAGACTTCGTCATCTTCGAGCCAAAATTCTGAGGAACACTTTGAGACCAACCAAGTGGGATCAGGTCCACGCACTGTTGCAGGTCATCGCGGTTATCGGTTATCCTCGAGGATTGAGAGCCTGGCTAAGCCGCTGCCTAGGTTTGGCCAACCGTTGAATCGGCTGAGTGCAGTTTTTCGGGGTAATCGAACGCTGGAGCGACAATAATATAGAGCGTAGTATAAGTTAGATATTATATCCTGATTCCTGGTCGGTTAGCAGAAAAACAATTATTTTTAGCATTTAATCTGACCAAACGGCCAAACACACCACTTATAATGTCTTCACGACGCTATAGGTTAGGATAGAAAGTATCACTATAGCATGCGGTATATAGTGATACAAGACTCATCTTTAATCACGTTATCAACCATATTAATACTAACCTGTTCGTTAAATAGGAACAAAAATAATATCAGGTATGGAATTAACTACATATCACAAATAAATTTCAAAATTTCAAATTAGTATTTGAAGTATTATCTGTTTAAGTAGTTAAAGAAAATATGAAGTATTGTTCAGTACCTATACGTCTTATTCAATTTAATTATACTATGTACAAATAAGCATACTTGTTATTCTACTCACTTCAAGAGAAAAAATAATTCAAAATAATTTGAATAATTACAGTTATGTAATTTATTTCATAGTTAATTCGTTACGTAAAACGATCGGTACCTACTGATGTTAGTAAATTCCTTGAAGGTGTGTATAGCTTATTCCATCAATCCTTATAATAGGTAGCTAAAAGGTAGCTCACTCATAATTCAGCCCAACAAAAAGAATATATTTTTCGCTTATTTAAATTTTAGCATTGGTGCATATTATGTTACTGTTATAATTAGTAGAAATTACACATACATTTTTATACAAATATATTGATAAAAATCAAATCTTCGGCACGGACAAGGCCGGGCGTCACAGTTAACATTATTATTATAATATGGTATACTCGCAAAAATCACAATATCAGGATACTTGTATAGTAAGTGGTATTATATACTGCTGCAATTTCGCAGAAGCTGACCACCAGATCCCGTGGTCCAGATCGAGCCCTAAGGTTGCAAATGAACAAAATCAAGGAGTGCACATACCACTAATACCACTACGAACCAGAACTAAAACAGGTGTGTCACGTGCTTCTTTGAAGTACGAGGCATCGGACCACATCAAACGATTGGCCAGGCCCCGCCCAATGCCGAAAGCGGATGACGAAAAGAAGTGCTTTTCGGTGAAGCCATTGTCACTTGTATACAAGCCGTCGCTCCGTATCCAGCAACTCTCCATGCCCAAGATCCGTGTAGAGAAAATGTGATCGTCGCTTTTATAAATAATTAAAATGTATAGTTGGAACATCAAATTCAAATTATACCTAAAAAATGCTTTAACAACCTTATTTTAAATTTAAACTTCAAATAATGGTAACAATAATCAAATCGAGTACTCGAACAGGTATGAAACATGGTAAAAAATATCTCAACCAACAATAGCGCACGGCAAGCAACTACTGGCGTAAACTTATGGCAACGCAAAAGTCGGAATTAGCTTCCCGGTGAAAATAAAGTTCAACAAATGTTGAAAATGGTCCAACGACTTACCAATAAATTTGAATTGGGTGGGTTGGATTGATGTTTCTAATATTTCGCTTTCAAATTCAAGGGAGTATAATGATATTATAATGAAATAAAAAAATTATATAGGTACTCGTATTTAAGTAGAGACAAGACAAAATTGCAAAAATAATTATATAACAATTCGTGGTTTTTTTTTGTAATTTGAACTTTTCCATAATAAATAGCTTATCCTATGATTAATCACTTCTCGAAGCCCAAGCTATACAATTTAATATATTTTATAACCATTCGAAGTTGGACCGAACTATTTTGTATATCCTAAGCTCATAAATATCAATACGTTCGAAATTCGTATATTTATCATAACATGTATTATTATACCTACATATCAAGACACGTGGGTCATATTACGTTTCTTTGCATCATCACGTCTAACCGACAACTTCAAAACCAAGAGTCTAACCACACGTACCTAATTACTTTTGATTACCTTACTAAATTTATATTAATACTCTGTTTCGGCCCGATACAAATAGTAGAGTCAAAGCTGTCTCATATCATTGTTAGTTCCGATAACTCGTCATCGGTCATCGGTATAAAGTAAAATATTATATCTATGTACCTACATTTTAATTTTATATGCAGATATAAGTTAAATAAATAATATAGGTACCGATTATCGGTACACTAAGTGTCTAGTCAAATTTAAAACCAAAATCCTCTCATATTCTTCCTTTTGGTATTTATCTACACCAATAAGACCGTATATCATTCAATATCAGTATCAGAACACGTTTAATAGTTATGGACACGTAACACCGAAGACGTTCAAATAATTTTCAAAAAAACTAAGACAACTATAATCATACAAAATGGTAAAAATATATTTTTTTTAAATGAGCAAGCCTTTAAATTACACCTGTGAAATACATATTTTCAAAAATGTAAAACTTAAGATCCCAGTATTCTAGGAAATTAGTGTTTATCTTTAAAATAATCACCCAGCTAGTATTAGCAATATATTATGTCAGTATGCAATTCATGTTCGTTCAATTTTGAAATGTGATTTTACATGCATTACAATATATCACCACTATACAGTTATCATAATCACAGGCGTCATCATGGCCCATGGGGTAGCAATTGCTGTGCCACTATTGTATTATTTTATTTTCCGACTACTCCTGAGAATGGAGATAACCACATACAAAATCATTTATATTTTCATTTTATTAAAATAAGCTAATATGTTATATGCAAAATAAAAACATAATAATATTGAATTAAAAATATTATTCTAGATGCTAGTCCGACCCTATGATTTTACTCAAATTGAAGCCCCTGATCACCATGGTAAATCCATTATATGAGGTGTGATTTTTTGAAAACGAATGCCTGTGATGGATAGTGTTTTGGAGTTCCAACATTATATATTTTATTTTGTTTTTATTGTAAACGCCCAAAGGCATAAAATGCATGATAATTAGAACAAGTTAAGTAACAATCATAGGAACAGAAATGTAAATCAATATAAAGTAAATACAAATAAATAAAATTAACAATTAAAGATTATGGGTAACTTATTACATCACATAGCTACGGAGAGCATAAAAATACAATAAATTAGACGATTATAATTATAAGGATTCATTATAAAATTATCATTAAAGAATTCATATTAAACATTATTTTCTCATCCCCCTTGCTTACTGGTTTTAATGGGTGGTGAAAAAATGTTTATTTTTAAATTTATAAATTTGAGCAGAACAGGTTGTTTTTCGAAAGTTAAACGAATATAAAACATCAAACTAATAGTTTTTATTACCTACGAAATAACATTTAAAGTTAAACGAGTATTAAACTAATTATTTTATAGTAGATCAAACATTTTTGTGGAGTTACTGAATACAATCTCTTATCTTTACTGATACGTCAGGAACTTTTCTTTTCATTTGAAATTTTTACGATACCATTTTTAGAAAGGTTTTTGACATTTTAAGTGATGGAGATTGTCGTTAAAAATCAAAAATTTAAATTTTGGGCATTTTATACATTAGTCAAATTGTTCAAATCTCATATTATGTAGGCAGTATATTAATATATTCTCTTTGGATAAAAAAAATCGTCTAAAAAAATCACAACTCATTTTGTTCGATGTCCGGGTTCCTTGACACACCGTTCATTAGATTTTAAGTTAGTATAATAGTGTATACAAATCTGAATAGAAAACCAAATTTTGTCGTTAGTATGGTTTTGGTTGCGCGAAGATAACATTCTCACTCTTACACAAAAAGTGTTATTCTTGTCACATAATAATTTGTCATGGTAAATGATTAGCATAATATATTACATATTTCTTTTTTTATAACCATGGGGAAAATAGAAAATATAATTATTAAAGATATTACAACTATTTCATAATGGTAACTTCTATTTTCCAATTTTAACATGATAATATCATCTCACAGTACCGACGCACCTATCGAGTCATAGGTAATATTACACATTATATTATTAATTGGAGATACGTTGCATGCGTCCATACTCCATGCAAAGTGGAATAATCTGATTTCAAATTATTAAGGATTCTATATTTTTTTTTTTTTACATACGACTATGAATATGCACTTCTATAATACATGCCTATGTAATGTTTTTTGTACATGTATAATATGTAATCTACTCTCGCATATTAATAATTGAGAAAAACGAAAATTGTAGTTAATTAGTTACGACGTCTAATACCGACGTAATTATATTTGTATTTCCTGTACAATCCGGTCATACACGTATAGTCGGTTTATAATGTGCTCTAATAAGTATATCATATGGGGATACCTATGTATACGATAAAGATTTTTATTTGACCGCCCTGTACACTGTAATTATTGTTACATTGTATTTATACGTATTTTATAAACGTAATCGAACTATATGAATAAACATACAATGCGCACACACTTAATATAATGAAACATATAAATACATCAAAATAACGTACTTATAATTGAACAATAAAATATTGGATTTTTTCGCTATGGTAGTCTACACGCCATATATACGCGTGTATAATAATATAAAAGTTGCAGTACATGTTTTACAAGTGATAAGGTGAGTAATAACTAATAATATAATATCGTGGTAAATGCGAATTTTTTTTTTATTTAATGTACATATATAGGTATCTACGGGTATACCTATATTTTTTCATCTCAACACGTGTTATTAAATTCGATCATAAACATTTATTCCAATACATTATGATAATAAAAACTCGAACAACCTAATCATCAGTATAATAATACACTAAATGGACGTGACGAGGTAATTTTATTGCACGACACGATTGCAATTTAATTCATATTTTTCTCATACGTCGTTTTTGTTTTTATTTTTATGTAAGACATATTAAGTTCGAATATACTACCTACAGAACACGCGCATACGGGCATTCCTGTATGAATATAATAATAATTCCTTAGTAGATCTGTTACTATTATAGTAGGTATAGTTAAGTGGCATATCTAAACCATCGAGCAAATCAAGTAGGTTGGTATAGAGCATAAATTACATAGGTAATATAAGTGTATAAACATATGTATATAACATGCCCACAAATGACATTAAAACCTCTATCAAAGTATCACTAAAATAATGTTTCTTTATTTAGTGAGACTACTGGAACAAATCACCACCAACAATCAAACTAAAAAATATATATTTTTTAAAACACCCACAGTCCCTTTTTTTAATCGACGTCAAGACATAAAGCGATCACTGCAGGATTTTGAAATGGTCACGCTTTTCATAGTTTCATCACATGCTTAGTACCCCCCCCCCCCATATATTCAGTAAAAATCCACAAGTGTGTGTGATACATATCATACATGCCACATTGCTGTCACAGATAAACAGATGTAAACCAGAACATACCAAACACCATTGTAGAGACTATATAATAGCACTGAGGACGAAGCCATAAAAATAATACGATTTCTAAACGAAACTAAAATCATAACCGAAATAATTTAATATCAATGTAAAACTTTCTTAAAACAATATCCATTTTTATTGTGTAAATTATAGATTTAAACCATTTTCAAATAATATTAAGTACCATAAAAAATAATGAAGTATAGGAACCATTTTGATGTTCACAGTACTTATAGGTTATTTTATTTAAATTTAAATTGTAAAAATGAATTACTTATATTAACTAGGCGTTCAATGAAATGAAAACCAACCTAACCATTGGTATTGTGTTGTAGACAATCTGAGAAAGTTGGGAATTCCGTGGAACAGGAGTTTAGCCTAACTTGAAATATTGCACCAAGAGCAAAATAGGACTATAGCGCCGGGCTGTCGGACCAGGACGCCACGTGGTTGGTTGCATGGTACTTGGGGGAGGGCCATGGGGCCACCGGACCACGGAGCCACCGGGCCACGTTCCCGTTGAGCCGCGATGACGGATTAGGGAGGTGCACTACAACAATGAGGCCTATCGCGAATCAGTTGGCGAAGCAGGATGATGAGCTCGACGGCGAAAAACACAAAATATGACATTCAGCAGCACTTGCAGCAGACAAAGGATGAGGATCAGCAGGACGAGTTGGAAGATCAGCTACCGCCGAAGGACAGGCGGTACCATATTATGTTATAGAAATGCTTCCACATCCGGAAATCCGGACCGCCCGTGTTTGTTCTGTGGTTGCGCAACCGGCTGGGAGAACCCCGAACTGGAAAACCAGGCTGCAGATCGAGGTACATGTGACCGAGTGGGCGTCGGAAACGGAGATGGTGACAATA